AGCTTGCAGGACGGGAGTGGCACGCTTCATCAGCAGAAGAGGGGTACTCGCTGGGGTTGGGGTCAGCCCAAAGCACCGTAAGCACACCAAAGGAGCATGAGAGGAAATGTAAATGATTGTCTGCTTGCACCAGTTCTATTTCTGCAAGTGGCTACTAGACATACTTCTCCCTGAAAATGCTGGCATCAGCACTATTACAATGTGACAAATCGTAAGGCTGGATCGATGGGCCGAGGTCAGTTGTATGAGGTTTAACAGGGCCAAGTGCTGGGTCCTGCATTTGGGGCACAACAACCCCATGCGATGCTACAGGCTTGGGGAGGAGTGACTGGAGAGCTGCCCGGCGGAAAGGGACCTGGGGGTGCTGGTTGACAGCCGGCTGAACATGAGCTGGCAGTGTGCCCAGGTGGCCAAGAAGGCCAGCAGCATCCTGGCCTGTATCAGAACTAGTGTGGCCAGCAGGAGTAGGGAAGTGATCGTGCTCCTGTACTCGGCACTGGTGAGGCCACACCTTGAATCCTGTGTTCAGTTTTGGGCCCCTCACTACAAGAAGGACATTGAGGTGCTGGAGCGTGTCCAGAGAAGGGCAACGAAGCTGGTGAGGGGTCTGGAGCACAAGTCTTATGAGGCGCAGCTGAGAGAACTGGGGTTGTTCAGTCTGGAGAAGAGGAGGCTGAGGGGAGACCTTATGACTCTCTACAACTACCTGAAAGGGGGTTGTGGTGAGGTGGGTGTTGGTCTCTTCTCCCAAATAACTAGCGATAGGATGAGAGGAAATGGCCTCAAGTTGTGCCAGGGGAGGTTTAGGCTAGATACTAGGAAAAAATTCTTTACTGACAGAGTGGTCAAGCATTGGAACAGGCTGCCCAGGGAAGTGGTGAAGTCACCATCACTGGAAGTATTCAGAAAACATGTAGACATAGCACTTTGGGACATGGTTTAGTGGGCATGATTGTATTGGGCTGATGGTTGGACTTGATGGTCTTAAAGGTCTTTTCCAACCTTAATGATTCTGTGATTCTCTAGGAGTGTCTCTTTTTAAGGAGATTGATGGGATTTGTGGTAAGGCTACAGCCCACTGTCGCGTGGAGAGCTCAGACCCCCTCACTAGCGCTGAGCTGGCTGGGGAGTCCTGAGCTGTAGTGCCATGTTTCTCATGTCTTTCCGTCTGTGAAAGTATTTTTAATAAGGGAAGATTTTTTAGCCCAAGCACAAGAATGGACAGTCCAGGCTTTCTGGACCTTAGTTGGCACACAGGGACAGTACTTCTGGCTCCAGAGTCAGCACGAGTGGGGCCAGCTCAGGTATTTCAGATGTAACATACAGGTCTAAGTCCTTAGACTTACCCCCTGCATTTACAGTGTAGGGCCATTGGGATGCTGTCCTCTGGATGACACGGGCCAGCTGTTGTCTCTGGTAGTCAGCAAGACAGAGGTCAGCATTTCTTTCAAATAAGAGAAGGTGCACCCAATATTTTCAGAAATATTTCTACTCCCATTAAAAGCCAAACCTTGTAGCGTTACTCAGATGAAAAAGCACATTTTGACTCTTGGCTATGAACTAAGTAAGGAACACAAGACCTACCCCTCATAGAAGGAGCGTTGCCACCATGATACCCCAAGGGGTATCCTTTCCTCTTTTCCAATGCCCAGGGCTATAGTCGAGCCGTTACTGAGTGACTGACAGGTGTCAGCCTTGGTTCAGCGCACGACAAGTATTGGATTGTGTAGAGAGATCTCAAATGCCCTAGTGCAGCAGAAACTATAAAAAGGCAACAAGTCCAAGGCATTTGTGGGCTTTCTGCCCACAAGGATCACATGGAAACGAATGTTTGTTACCTTTCTTTTGGAGACTACTGCTGATATTGTGGCATTTTCTTCTTCTATGAAAGCATTTTTCACACGCATTTCATGCATGAAATCATCTTTATCCATGTGGACGACCAGTCTGATCAATTACAAAGGTAATCCTTCAGTGATGGGAACTGAGAAGGCTCCATAACACTTGCTCTGCAGGGCTTGCAGCACCACTTATTGCTTATTCTGGGCCAGGGTTCTGTAGGCAGCCAGTATCAGGATTCTTAATTTAGCCACATCAGCATGTCTTAAACCTGTCTTAAGCTGTAGCTGTTCTAAAATCCTTTGCTGTTAATAATTTTCTCATTCTGCTGTCCATGAGCAGTATTAGCAGCTTTCTCTGTGACATTCACGTTCAGTCCTAATCAGATTATAAAAGTAAAACATGACATACAGTATGTGAAAACAGCTTTTTCCCAGACAATTCAGAAGCGGTCTGCCAAGTACTTTGAGGCTGTTCTGGTAAACACATAAAAATAATTCATCCAAGAACTTTCGATAAACTGCCACTGAAAAAAGGAGAGAGGCACTTTCCTCTGCGTTGTTCTTGGTGCTAAATGCAGGAAGCCAGCGGCAGGTCCACACTCCAGCGTGGTCCCCATTACAGGAGTACTTCAGGGCTGGGCCAGGGCAAGTTCCCCTTCACCAAGGAGCAGGCATTAGGCTTTTGGAAAGCTCTGCGTGCTACAGAAGGTAAAATCCTCCTGGGTACATCCTTGCCATGTTTGGGTCAGTACGTTCCAGTGGTTTCTAACTGACGATGTCGTCAGTAAGTACAAACGGAGTCATGAGAAGAGACCTGTGATATACAACAGGCCAATGCCAAATTCTCCCTCCGGTATTGTGAGGCAGGGCTGTGTGTAACCATGGTATTAACATATATAGAACAGACGGTATGATTTCGGCTGTCTGGTCTAATTCCTTGCCAAGTTTCCAGTAGTTTAATCATGATCTAATTTGAAATAATTAAAACAGTTATGTTTTTTTAGAACTGCTTTTTCATCTCTAGGGCTATGAGTACCATCACTGCAATCATAGCTAGAATAATTTTTGTAATAACCTATGATTTTAAGTGATCCAATTTACAAAATCCTCTGTAAACAAAAATCACCAAAGCCGGTTACTAGCTGGTGATCTTGAACTCTCTCCCCACAGTTGCGCTGTAAAATGATGCGTAACCATAGCTCTAAACTTGTCAGCTTTTATAAAGTTGGTGTGTAAAGTTTAAATTCAAATGCGTATCTAGAATTATTTTTTTAAAGTCCATGTTATATCTTCCATCAGATTCCTGGCTGAGGAAGCTTTTTGACCTAAAAGTGTTGAAAATCTAGATCTGATTTTCTAGCGTGATCATTTGTCATCTTAAACAAATAGACAAACTAAACACGGACAATATGAGGGAAAAGTGTGTGTTGACTGGAAATGTAGGGACATACGTTTTATATTTGGTTTGGTTTGTTAGAAAACATTAGGTTCTTGACTTCTGCTCTATTAAAAAAACAAAATAATTGCACATGATGGAAATTTACAATACAGACTTTATTCTGCACTTCTTGTACAAATTCCTTGTGTGTTTTAGCACAAATAATAAATAAAATGCAAGAATTGCACTACCCACTTTTCAAAAGTCAGTTGCTCCAAATATCTTCAAGTCTAAACAACCATGACATAAATCTTTCTCATGAATGGACATGTGCGGAAGTACAAGCTTAGGGCTTTCATTTTAACGGAACACTCTGGCTTCAGCTAGCGAGAGCCTGGGTTTTGTTCATCAGATTTTTCTCATATTCTTAAAATTGTATTTGTGTTCAGTTTCATTTGAATATGTTTTTAATTTGTCCAAACAGCAGATGGCTATCATGAAGAGTCTGTATTTAACTTGGCACTTTCCATTCCACATTCCTTTACTATTCATAGCACAGCAGTCATACTCATCTCCCTTACACATAAAAGGAGGCAGTTCAACTTGCAGCTGCAGATCTCAAATGTTTGAGTATTTACAAACTCACATACAGCATTATTTTTTTTAACGTTAAGAAGACCAGATACTAGATACAGTGGTGGATTTTTTTTTCACCTCTACTATTCTTACGAAAAGAGAGAAACTGGGACAGATATTAATCCAGCGTCTGTAGTAAGGAACTCCCACACCTAAAATTAGATTCATGTAGAGCCCATGTTGGTACAGAGAGAGTGGGATTATACATAGGCAGAAAAATTTGCTTTTGAAGACACAAACTGTCAAGCAACGTGAAGAGTAAAGTATTCATCTGATTGAAAAACAAGACTACATAAAATGTGTAAGAATAGAGGCATCTGTGCTAGAGTAATGCTTTTTTATTAATGGGGATTCACAAGGAAGAATTTGATCTTTTGAGTATTTGTAAGCAATATATTTTTTGCTGAGTTGCTAATGGATAGCAGAATATATCAAATAAAACCAATTTTCTAAATGTCTTTGAATGTTTTCTTTGAAATTAATTAGTCTTTCACAGAAAGTATAATTTCTACTGCCTATGTTTTCAAGCAAATAGTCCATGATTATTCTTTTTTCTTATAGTTTCAAGCATGCAACACACTTCTGAAAAGTAATCTCTCAAGGGTTTTTTTGTATACAAGCTTGGACCGTGGAAATATTTTTTTTCTTGATTATAAACTTCAGTTTGTGTGCTTTTCCAGAGCCTAAGGAAGAAGAAATTAATCTCAAAAATTAGAAAACAGAATTTTTGGTATGTAAATTAAATTTCTCTAAGACTCATAACCTGTCTATTGCTTCTTTAATGATTATGACTATGTATGACAGATGCTTATTCCTTAGAAATACAACTCCTCCTACTGAAGTCATAAATGTGCTTTATTTTCAATATGTTATCAAATAGATTTTTTTTCTCTTTCTGTGTCTACCCTAAATTTTCTACTGCTCAAAAAGCCTGGCTTTCCAACACATACAGAGCTGGAGGCAAGCAGTCTAACATTTCACATCAAACAATAAACTCGGCATACTGAATAATTTATACAAAGATTTTCATTTACTGTGATATAAATACAGGCACATGCTTAGTACGCTCTACAGCATTGATTGGATGATATTATGTTGTTATATTAAGAATGATTTTATCTCACCAATAAACTATGGACAAGACTCTAATTCTTTGCCACTGAGTTCTTCATTTCAACAACCAAAATGCCATCGTGGCAGAAAAGCGCAGACAAGTCTTTGTTCTCCACTCCATTAGGTAGTTTGTATTGTCTGGTAAAGCTTCTGGATATGAAACCGTGTTCGTCCATCCTGGGTCCGTGTTGAGCTTTGATCAGGAGCCAGCCTTCGAAAGTCTGAATAATGATATCTTCGGGGCGGAACTGCACAACGTCCAGCAAGACCTGAAAGCTTGTCTTTTCCTCCTAACCCCAGCTGTACTTTCCGTGATACACCTTCCGTTGCCTATTGCAGCTGTAGAAGGGCCCGGCAAGGCGTATAAAGAGTGGTCCAGTTTGCGCGCTTCCGGCTCTTGGACAGCAAACTGCTCTTGATAGCGCACGGGAGTTTCCACCCAGTGTCTTATGACAGCTTCTGCCATTGCTGAGGCAGAAAGGTAAGCTGCTGCTGCTGGGTCGCTTTGGGGAAGCTGCAGAGTCGGAGCACACTCTTCCCAGACGTATGCCTTACCCACAGACTAGTTTACCGGTTGATGCCACCTTTCACTTTTAGCACGGGCAGAGCTCAGCATTTAATAGGGCGTGCTGTGCTCCAGTGCCAGGAGGCTTGTTTCATCTTTTATCCACTACCAGTAGAGCACTATTTATAGTACTGGGGTCCTGAGTGGCTTCAACACGTGCACAGCTTTCATGCATAAGTAGTAAAAGCAAAATTTTAATGCACCTCTGATGATTGCAATATTGTGCTCTTTGACATTATGAATAATGAGCAGATGAATAATGTGAAAGATTTGTTGATTTAAGTGGAAGTTTAATGATTCTTTTTTTCCAAGGGTTACATGGCAATAGATGCAAACTTTGCATTTCTTCTAACTGAAAGGCAGAGGTGCTGAAGGAAGGAGTTTAATTAGCTTGACACTAGGAATGGAGCAATTTTCGGGTTATGTAAACTATGAAATTAACAAGTGCATTGGACGTTGTTGCGGAAGTTGTGTATAGGTGAAATACAGGCATGGTTAACCATGTTATTGGTGGGAGGAGGGAACTGTAACCATCCCTGCCCAAAGAAGGGGTGCCCAAAGGGCTGAATCTGCAGTCTTAGTGACCTACAAACACAGCGGAGCCTTCTCCAGTGTGTCAGGGAGTCACTTGGGAGTGCAGGGAGAATTACAGTTAAAGCTCGTATTTCACAGATTCCAGGAGAGGGCAGAGTTATTTTTCCCTGGCAGAATAGTGAAGACAACTCCAAACCCATAATGCTATCACATTCTCCCATTTGACCTCCATCCTCTGAAGCTTAACAGCTTGAATCTACGATCCCATCTACCGCATGTGCCTGGGGCGCAGGACCGATGACCTCAGAGGCTCTCTGTGGTGTAATCTTCTTGCTACTCTGTGATCTCAGGGCAAATAATGCCTTGGTTAACAAGACCTCAGAGGAAAGTGCAGTGAAAAGGGAAAAGCATTTCCAAATTCTATAGGTTTGCTAGGAGATCCCTCTTGCTGGGATTGGTAACGTAAAGCAGAATGCACTGTGTAGGACAGCTGATGGTGAAAGTTTTTATTTCCCTCAGTTGCGCTAATGCTATAAATAATCAAACGTGATACCTTTATTCTGTTTTGTTTGGCTATTGTTGTTCAGAGCTCTGTTCCTCTCTTGTCCTTACAGTTTCCATTGCCATGAAAATGGCAAGTCAGGGATCTTTGGTTGCTAATGGACTCAAGAAGAAAGACGCATGTGAATTTCAGTATCAATCAGAAATGAACTTCTGTATTGAGTTGATAGCAGAGCAGGATTACCAGACATATCTATAATTAATGTTCTAATGTTGCTATTTTATTTTAGACACATGAAGGCTGCATCACAAGGTAAGGACATTTTCAAAGGTAGATCAAATGTTCAAGATAACTTACATTAATGGCCAAACATTTAATTGAGTATTGTGGGAAAGGAGAGTTATGCTACTTTATTTAACTGTTGCCTCTTCTCCTGTCAAACTGTCCTCCAGAAATCACTTAAAAATGCAATTCCAAATGTATGGCTTTCTAAAACAGTGATAAAAATAACCTGGAGCATTGCCCATTATCTGTTCAGCAGCTGTTTTCTGTTTCACTAGCCAATGATTCACTTGATGAGGAAACTTTAACCCTGAAGTGAAGCAGTATGCCTGGCTGGTTGTGCTATTATGCTTTTAGAGATTTCTGAAAGTTATAGCTGTCCGTACTGAATTCTGTGATGATAGCCTGACTTTTTTTACTTCAATTTTGCACTTCATTAATAAATGTACTGTGCAGGAATACAGCATTCTTTTATTTTTCATTTTATTTTCATTATTCCCATCTTCCCTGGAAAAAGGTAAACTTGCCTATACTTATACTTTAAATGAAAACTGAAATCACCACCTCAGTGCAGCTCACAGTGGGACAGCTGTACCTATTCCTAGAAACAGTTGCATTAGTCTTTCAAATATCTGGGTTAAGCATACTTGGAACTGCCTGTCTGGTCTAATTAGCACAAAAGATACTTTGAATACCCTTTGAATTCATGTCCTGCGCAAAGGTCTACAAAAGCTTACAGGAGCCCTTTCTACTCTGTAGGACAAGGAACGGGAAAGATTTTGGTAATGAAGTCATGTAGCCTCCTTCTGCTCTGTCCTCAGCCCCAGGCCCTCTTCTCTGTTTGCCACCTAAGGGCTCAGGAATTAGCACCACTTTTCTTACCTCTTTGTTGCTAACATGGAGAAAAACACTTGAAAAAGAAAACACCCTTGAAATGCACATATCCCACTATTTTCGGGCTTTCAACTTTACATATGGATGTGGTGTTGCAATACTGAGGAACTTTTGATGCTTATGCTGTTATACTCTTCAAATATCTATCATAGAATCAGAATCATAGAATCATTAAGATTGAAAAGGACCTCTA